CTAGCACCACGACGCAATCTAAAAACAACAAACAACACAATCTCACATGTGTAATACGTTCATACTGCGCACTCAAACTCACTATGTATACTTACACTTTGACTTTGCCACTGACTAAATGTAATGACACCAAAAAATAAATTACCAATAAAATTTGCATAGAAATTTAATTTAATCAGAGTTTTATACGCATAATTTTCCCATTCGCCTTCTCAACTTGATGCTTCATACTGTTTGCTGGTTGACATCTTTCGTCTTGTTTCCATTTGAAATCGGAGAGCAAAGTGGGAGAGAGAGAGAAATGCCATGTTCAGTTTTTATTTTCGATATTTATTGTGTAAATGTATTTTGATGACATCAACTGACAAAGAATGAGAATATCACAAAATGGAGCACATATTCAACAGTCGAAAAATTGTGAGCAAACCGAGTAGGGGGAAGAATAAAGAGTAGAAGAAAAAATAAAAATCTCCCCCTTATTAAAATAAACAATTTCTATTTTATTTCGAGATCGTAATACAAACAACAAAAGTTGCAAATCATATACCTCCCCGTTTTGCCGCATTATTTAATAACGTAATAAAAATGATAAAGAGGCTTATGTACGCAAGGCAACTTTTCCGTATGAAAACCTAAATTTTGGAAATAAACTATGATGTATGTATGGTTGCAGTAAATTAATCACCGTAAACATTTCTGAATCTTATTTTCATACCAAAATACATAATCTCATCGAATTTGAAGAAAAAAAAAATTGGAGATTTTTGTATGGAAAGTCGTTAAAAATTTGTCATATCGCAAAACTAACGCCAGTTTCGGTTTTCTCGTGCCAAAAAACTCCACAATACATATGTTTGATTGTTGTGTACTTAACACATAAAATGGTACTTTTTGGAGAGAAATGAAATATTTTCTCGTAGCCACAACATTACCCTATCAACCAAAGTCGCTCAAAATTCAATAATTTCTATTCTTCTCTGACTCGGATTGAACTCTGCGGTTCCACCGCTTGCTTACCGAAATGGCAAAATTTTTGGATTTTCAAAACAAACAAACACTGCTTTGATTTAACAATTTTTTCAAGGATACGAACATACCCGAGACTAGATGTCATGCTCTAAAATGAGCGTCTACTCTCAGATGTATATGCCCCAAAATCGCCTGCAATCGTGTTTTTCCATACATGAAATATATGCCTATAAACATGTTTTGTGGTGACTTTATTTTGTTGGCCTAATACAATACCTTTGCTACACTCGGGGTGCGGAAAAGTAAAATGAATACGGAAAAAGAGATTCGTTTGATACCGCCTACGGATGGCTGTGTATTTATTTTATTATTATTACTGCATACTGTCGCATCACATTGAAATCGAAGGTGAATACAAGCAAGCGAGAGAGCAACACCGACAAACTGTTTGTGATAAACGACAAACATGCGAAACAAAAGTGCCAAGTGGAAAAATTCAAATTAAACGACCAAAAATATGATTGATGCATTTTAATATTATTATTTGGCGCATATTACGCTGAGGGTAAATTATTATTCATTTGATGCGAACGTATGTGCGTATGCGCGCTCGTGCGAATTTATTTTTATGAATAAGATGGCTTTAGTCAAAAAAATGTTCATCAATTGGACCACTCCATCGTTTGAAAATTCAATCAAATGTTGAATAGCAATCATTTTCGAAAGTTTCATTTTATCAACATAAATGCCATTTAATTGTTTAAACCAACACAATAAAGTTCACATACACACACTGTCAATCAAAAAAACATTTGATTAAATGTGAAACAAATAAATCTTATTGAATGCAAACGCTATTTGTAAAACAATAATACAATATTTATTATTATATCGATGTGATATAATCACAATTTGATATAGCGCTAATTCAATTAGACACCTGTGCATTTTTGCATTTGAATCAAGCAATCCGAAACAAAAAAAAAAAAACAAAAACAAATGAATTCATGTTGTCACCCGTCGATGACAATGTCAATGGCTACGTAACTATTTAGCATTCAAACATTTGAATTGGAGCTAAGATGTTGTTGTTTGGTGGTTGTTTGCTTGCTATACACGATAATGACAAACCAACAACACTTGCAACAATGGAACGTTGTCGCATTTGAATAACAAATAACCCACCATGAAATGAACTCGAATCCGAATATAGATGTCGGGTGTACATTCGAAACAATTGAATCAAATAATTCATTATTTGTTATATATATCTGTGTATAACTATAATGAATAGGAATTTGATAGGAAATTTTAAACAAAAAAGACATAGTCTCATTCTTCCGAAAAACCCCCGACCATTGTTGCTGGTGTTGTACACATAAAATGATAAATGCGCTGATAAGCCCGAAAATAAATGGTTGAAATTACTTTGTATTTATTTGTTGAAAATTTTTGGCTTCTGCCGTTCATTCGTCTTAGTTGTGTAAGAGGCACAATTCGGTTGCAGCAGCACGTTTTCGAACAAAAATGGAAAATGGCAATTTAGTCAATGGTGCCGAGTAGATATTTTAAGCATTGTTTCACAGTACATGTGTTTATACATCACGGAAATGCCTAGAAAACAATTTAACTTTTGACAACTATTTAAATTTTCGTTGCAACAATGCTTTGTTTGGTGTGTGTTCGTGTCGCCGTCTCTGTCTCCATGACATCTTCAATACACAGTAAATTTTCGTGCATGATTGTCTCTACAACACTTTCGAAATAAAACGCACTCCTACGTTTTCCCCAATTTTTATCAATGAAATATCGTTCCAAATGGACCAAATATATTGGAGCAAACAATTTATTTCGATTCATCTTGTTACACTCAAAATTCGTCTATATTTTATGTGTTCATTATTAACACATTTTCATTGCATTTAAGTTGAATCTTCCCTCCACCGCAAACACACAATGATAATCATAAAATAATCACAGAAGATGAAAAAAAAACATGAATCTGACAATAGCTTCTAAATTGAATGCTCATATGGCTCTCGATAATAATAAATAAGAATGTATGTGTATTTTGTTTTTTCGTTCGATTCACATTTAAAAAAAAAACAAGATGTTTTCAAAAGACGTTTTCAATGTGTTTTAAAGTAGCGGAACTTTGGCATTTCTAGTATAAACAAATGGGTTCAAGAATGCACACATAAATGCTTTGCAGTCCGATTGTCATGCCGCTATCTACTCCAGTGACAGTTATTTATTACTTATTTTGATGCGTTAATTGCTTTCATTTTCCTCTTAATTAATAATGTGATCGAAAGACAAAAAAACCGTATCAAAAATACAACTTCACTTTCAGCCGCTGAGTGCTGCTTCTCTATCTCTCTTCTTCTGTCCTGATGCTCTCTTTCCGTTAACGAAATAGAAAGGACAAATAGGTATTTATGTCGAGTGGCTTGTAACATTAGCGAACATCAAAAAAGTCGACTCCGACAACAAGTTGAATGGCGTTCGAAAAATGTGTTAAAAATGTTTGCGATCCATTTGGTCCAAATCGTTTAAAATCGAGAGCGTCGTATATTTTTCGGTTGAAGAAAAAAAGGGGGAAGCGGAAAGAAATCTTAGATGTAACAGGCATTTGAAAATCACCGACGATGGTGATAAACGCTTCAAAATAGAAGCAGAAACACACTTGGAATAATTTATTAGAAAGCAGTCATGCTCACTGTTTTCTGTCACTTATATATTTTATGTGTTCGAAACTATGCGTAGCAACTTTTTTACTTTTTCAAATGCTTAAGCAGCGGAGATCACACTTAATCGACCCAACAACTAATGACTCGTTACCACTTAATGAATATATTTTTAAGTGTAATGCATTTTTTTTTCTTCTTTTACTGGTGTCGGGCGAATGCCAACGACAAGAGAATCGCGTAGCGCCAGATTAGCTATGACAAAAACACGTTAAAACACATCAACAATTCATATCAGTCAAGTTTTCTTATAATCACTTAATTAACGAAGCCTTGACCAAACTATTGGACTATTAAACATTTTGAAAGTACACACTTTCAAGCATTAAACTGAATTTTGAGCACAGAAAATGCGGTTGACACTTGAAACATAGACATTTTCGAAAAAATGGTGACATGTAAAATCTCCACATGAGATTCGTCCGCAAAATCATTTTGTTTGGCGGTCACATTTCAAGTTGAGAAACTGCAACTTGTCCGCACACAAAACTGTTGTTTTTTTCGAGACGGATAAATATCATTTTGAAATATTGAATTTTGTCCGCTCTAAAAAAATGCAATTTCTCCACAGCAAACAAATTTTTGAGAAACTTCATCTTGGCCGCACTTGAAACTGAAATTCATCAACAACAATAACCATTTAGAGACCTTTCGGTGTGGCCTTTTTAAATTTAACGAACATTTTTGTATGGGGGGTACCTGATTTTGATAGTGCTTTAAACTCTCTGAATGTTATATTTTTGTGAAAAAATAACCTTTGCAAAGTTTCACCACGATATCATACAGGCCCATGCAAAATTTTACATTTTTCGTAATTTTTGTATGAAAAGTGTATCGAAAATTAGTTGTATCGCAAAACCAATCTCAGATTCGGGTTTCTCGTGCCAAAATCAAGCAATCTTAGGTTGGTTAGCTACCTATATTTTTTTCACCGCCAAAGCATTTCTCGGGCACAAAAATAGTGGAAACCAAAACTTGCAAAAAAAAAATGTTTTTTTTTTCGCACACTCAATTCTTTCAAAGAAGATTGTTTATTGTATTTTGACAGATTTTTTTTCGCTGTCAAATGAATTTTCGGTTCAAACAAAAATTAAATTGATTAGAATGTCTCGCATGCGTCTTATCTTTTTTGGAGTAGAAAAATGTGTGCGCGAATGATGACCACTAAATTGAAATTGAGATTTTTAATCAGTCTCACAGATATGTTTATTTACAGTCATTTAACCTTGTGTTTTTGCTATAAATATGGAGGTTAAACGCAACAAATGATCATCCTGATGTGAAAGATACTTTCGGTAATTTCACATTTCGATTGTCGATTTCATTATAAGAATAGTGTCCGCATGTAATTTAGTCGAATTAATTTATAAATAAATCTCAAAAAGTGTTTAATCCACCCAAATAAGACGATGAAATATTTATTTGTGATCGTTTTTCTCGTCGGTGCGAGTGTACAAGGTAATTTTATGTGAAGACAGAAAAATTGTGAAATTTTAATATCCCTAGTTACAAATCTAATATGAATTATGTCAATATTTTCAATCATTTTCTCAGACAATATTAGCAGTAGGACGCCTGATGGCAGAGAAAATCTTTACGAGGCCATTAAATCAGGTTAGTTGAAGGCAATGAATATTCCTATCTTCAAAAAAATGTAAAAAAGCATGTTTCTTCAAAAAAAAGAGGAAATGTTCGAAATGATATTCAAACTCAATAATTCATATCAAATTGAAATTATTTTCGTTCATTAAATCTAGGCAGAGTAGATGTAGTCACACTTCTAACCGATAATGGTTCAAATGTGAATTCATTTGGTGAAAAAAATTCTAAAATAACACCACTGCAATTGGCTGTTGCTAATGGTATTTTTCAATTGATTCAAAAAAGAAGTATTTATGCATTAGAATTAAATATATTTTGTAGGCGAAACGGAGGTATGCAAAATTCTTATCGAACATGGAGCTGATGTGAATTATGTAAATGAGAAAAATGTAACTCTACTTCATATAGCAACAATTTTTGGTAATTATGCACAATTTTGAATGACAATAGCTAATGAATGTTACTTTATACATATTCAGATCGTTTGGAAATATGCAAAATCCTCATCGCAAATGGAACAAATGTGAATGCTGAAGACAACGAAAAGTTCACACCACTCCATATCGCCGCTCAATACGGTTATTGTCTATATGTTCAGAAATTCGAATTGATTTTAGTGGATTTTTATTTTTATCTGCTTCATATTTCAGGCTCAAATGACACGGTTGAATATTTAATTGCAAACGGAGCAAATATAAGCGCTGAAGCTGAAAATAGGTTTGCACCCATACATATGGCTGCCTGGTCTGGTATAATTTCCAATTATTTTAAATTAAAATGAATAAATTCAATTTAAATATTTCGTCTCTTTTATTTATCAACATTTCAGGCAATTTGAATACTTTTAAAAGTCTGATTGCACATGGAGCGGACGCTGAAGCAAAAGCAATTTGGAATTTTACACCTTTACATTTCGCAGCTATAATTGGTGATGATCCTTTTTTATAAATAATTAACATGATGTGTGTACGATCAATGCGCAAGTATTAAATTCATTTGATCAATGTTCCAGGCGATAAGGAATTAGTTCAATATCTGATAGCACAAAGAGTTGACGTCAATGGTATAGATAGAAATATGATGATAACGCCTCTTCATTTAGCTTATTTATGTGGTAAATCCAAACATCTCAGAATCAAGATTGAGAATTTCCAATGTTAAATTTCTTTTCATTTTTCAGGCAATGAAGAGGTGCAAAGGATCTTGATTGATAATAAAGCTGATCAAAATGCAAAAGACGCAAAGGATGAAACACCACGTGAAAAGTATACTGGTAATGATTTATTTTAAATTATATTTAATAGAGACATTTTTTAATCGAAACTGTTTATTAAATTAAAATTAGATAAGAGAAGAGCAGAAAAGGCGAAGCTGGAATTTATTGCCATAGTAAACGAAAGGAAGGAAATGTTCGAAAACTTATAGAAAATGTAAAGTCACTTTCATCTGAAAAGCAGAGAGTCGAATAATCAAGCTTAAACCGGTTTTATTGTTCAATTTTCAGACGACGAAGAATTTATTGATTGATCAACTCTGTCTGTATCACTGTGTCTCTCTAATGATGCAGAAAGTTAGACTTTTCAATCCTCTTTCAAACGGTATACAAAGTTTATCAATATCTTTTCATTTGGCCAAAATATTATCAATCGAAAAAAAATGTATCAGTCTGCCCCCACTTCCACTCTAAATAATAATGAATAAAAAAAAAATAAAAAACCATATTAACCAAATTTTTATTATCCTCCGGATGAATATCATTTTGAAACATTGAATTTTGTCCGCTCCAAAAATCTCTGGGATAGAATTTTATGGTAATGTATTATTGAGCAAATATTCCAATTGTGTAATCAAAACACACTTCATTCATAAAACAATAGAAAATAATTTCAATTTAAAATCGTACAACCATCATAAATCCATACAAAACGTGTTGAATGCTCAATATTAAACGTGATTATGTGTTTTACATAGGATCATTTCCACTTTTATACAAATATTTAATGTTACATTTTCCATTAGTTTTGTTGAGTTTTATAAAATTGACAAAACTTTGTTTGTGAACAACAACGGGCGGAAATGATTTTTATCGGATAGGATTATTTTCAACATATATTCTGTATAAATAGATAATGACAATTAATTCAATTCGTTCTACCGATATTTTCAGCGCACATTTTTGTGATTAATTATCATCGAATTAGCCACACATATAAAATCAATAATGTTGACTAGTTTAATGCATAATTTAACGCCATTAACTATTGTAGAGAATTGAAATAAAAAAAAAACGTCCATTACGAAACGGAACGATCCACCTCAATTATTCTAAAAATAACATTTAAAAAAAAAAATCATTTGTTTAGTTGTGTATTTAATCGCTTTTGAATGGCTTGAAGATTTTTTTTTTTGTTCAAAATTAATTGGCATCTGTAGTGTACACAAATTAACATATTCGTCTACCTCAAATTCATGTGACATTCATTTTTATGAATGAAATTTAAACTCACAAATTAAATCACATAAATTTTGATATATATTAAGTTAACACGAATCAGAAACGAACTTTTCCATCATTTTTACGACATTCAAGTAAAATGTTGACTCAAGCTTATAAATTCCTGCGGTGATTTCATTCGACGATTGGACAAAACGGTTTTTTTTTCTTCTCTCTGTTGTGCGAAAGTTGAAAACAATATTCAAAACTCAAACTCCATAAACGAAATATAGAAGAAGAAAAAATAAAACGGAAGAAAAGTTCTTGTGATTTCTTTTTTCATTCGGTTTTTTGTTCAGTCGTTTTTCGACTCACTTTTTTTTTAAGTCGTTCATTTTCATAATTGTCTGCCTGGTCTTTCTCTCCATTTCCACCATTCGGTTTGTGCGCGCCAACCAAACAGTCAGTTTGGGTTGAAATATTTTGTCGACGATATTTCATTTAAAATTAAATGCAAACGCTATTTATTGTTTCATATTTGAATTTTAAATCTCTAGATATTTATTCGTTGTTATTGTTATTGGTTATTTTTCTTCAGTTTTATGTTCATATCATTTTCCCAGCGCAAAAGCTTTATGTCTCTCATTTAATGCAACAAAAAAAAAACGGCAACGAACAACAAAAACACAGAGAGAGAGACACCAACAGCAAAATGAAGTAGTATGCAAATTTAATTGAACCAACGGGTCAATATCATAATTTTGTTCTTTTTTTATGATTATATTTTTCGGGCGCACGTATCATTCGGTCTATTATCGTGAATATACAATTTTTCAATAATTATTTTGTTTTTTATTATACAACAGATTGTGGTGTCTATAGTTGCATTTTGCACTGCAAAACAGTCTAGTGTTACATGTCACAAATGTCATGATCCTTAGGATATTTAACTCACTTGATGTGTTTAAAACGATAAAGACATTCTTGGAGGCACACTAATTGATTTTTTTTTTCTTTTCGACTTGCCTTACTTACTTACTTTTGGCAGTATTTTGAAACATTACCAATCAGGAGAGAAAATATTATATTATTATTTTCTGCTTCAACAAAGCTGTATTATTTATTCACGTGATTGCAATATGTTTCTCGGTAATTTGAAAAACTTCCCAAAGTTTTTGGCATTTTATCGACACAGCTGTTTATTGGCAGGAAGTGTGGCATTGGAATTGAACGAAATAAGATTGTCCGATTCACACGGTATGAAAAAGGTTCTTTTGATTTTTTTTTTAAATAATAGCAACGAAATTAAAGTGAATCGAATGACAAATGCATAAAAAAATTATCGGAGCAAAGGTAAATGGTAGGCTTAAAGTAACAAACAGAATTTATGGTAATTTGAATTTATTGTTTGTGGAAATAAAAAAGAAAGCCATCGAAAAATGATTATGAATAAACAAATCGCGATTCAACTAAACGGTCAATGTCACATTTATGAGGCGTACATTATTCGAGCCAATAAACAGTTTTGGTTTTCCGCTATCGGCCAATCGACCAACAAACAACGAACCAGCACAAGAAAGCAGAGAAAAAAAAATACATACAAAATTACTAATGCTACTACTAAATATGCATGCAACCGATAAACGATGACCATATATATGTATTTCTTTCTCTTTCCCCCACCTCTCTCTCTCTCGCTCTGCAGTCATAACATTTAACTCAAATGACAAAGGAAGTGAAAATAATTAAATGCCATTCGAAATGAACGGATGACAAAAGGTAAAACAATGCAAATCATCGAGGCAATAAATGCGAATATTTCGAATTAGTTTTATCGAAAATTTATGGAATGATTTAATTTGAAAAATTTACCGGAAAAGTACATAAAGCGCAAGTCTATCGATCGGCCATTTCCATATTTTCCCATTCGATGTATATGTCCAATGAAAATTAATTGGACACATTGAAGCATTGAGGCGCATTGAGTGAATGGTTCGATTGCTGCCAGCGACTGCATGTCTGTTTTGTGTTACAAATAGCGTGACAAAGCCACAAACTATAAACAAATATTGGATATACTCTCTTGGATATGTCGAATGGATGTGTGCCTCGATTATGCCGTTTCGTTCAAAAGGAAATTGAAACGATGAAGAAGAAAAGAAAACAACAGAATCGAGAAGAAAACACGATTGAAATTTGCGGTCTCTGCCTTTTGGTGTGTGTGTGTGTGTTTCGCATCAAAAAGGAATCTACTGGTCGAACGCATTATTACGAAAATTGCGTATCCATAAACTGCACACACCGAATGCATACCAACATCGAGTATTTTGCTGAAGACTTTACCAAAAACCCTGGCCGAACTGAAACGCGCCGTGTGCACGTTGAATCAATTTTGTCTTCTTTAATATATAAATCGATATTTGTGTGTTCTTTATTCACATTTTTTTTATATGGGTATTGTTGTGTGCACAGCAGCTACCATGCTATGAGCATTGATTTGGCTCATACTCGGAAATCGAATGCACTCAATGGAAAAAAGTCTCTATTTATTTTATCGATTTATTTGTGTTGATTTTTCTCGTTTTTTTTATCTTTTTCTTTCGTTGCTGCCGTTCAGTTTTCAGCTTCTTCTTTTCTCTCTCTCTCTCTCTCTCTCTCTCTCTCTCTCTCTCTCTCTCTCTCTCTCTCTCTCTCTATCTCTCTCTCTCTTTTACGAATTTAAAACGAGGTATCGTTTCGCATCTAATTGGCATGAAATACCAAACTATATAGTCTTAATACGATCATACCGATTCTGGTATCGTAATCGATTTTTCCTTGTACTCTTTATTTTTGCGCGCGCTCTTCTTTTGTGTTATTTTTTTTGGTACTCGGCCAGAGAGATGTTGATGCAACTGATTATAATTATTATTGTTGTGGCTGCTGTTAAACTCTTTTTTTTTTTTTGTTCCACGAAGAGAGAGAGAGAGAAACTGTTTTTATTTTCTTCTTCGTTTTACGTGTTTGTTGTAAAAGTGCCCGGTTTGGTAAAGAGTCGAAATGTAACATAATAAAGTGAACAGGATAGCGCTATTTATTCACTTTGAATTTAATTACAAGGATTTTTGTTTGTTGTTGTTTATTGTCCCTTTCTATATCGGTATTGTTATACGCTAGTCCACTCACTTCATACAAAATCTTTAACGATTCGATATGATTCTCAAATACATCGAGATGCCTGGTTGCATCGTACGTGGTGCTACTTGTTACGCGATGAACACATAAAATTATGTGCCACGTCGAACTTTTCATGACTTCTTTCCAACTCAATTGTCAATTGTATTGGAAAAATGCTTTTGAACATATGCCAAATAATAGCCAAACGGCCGAAAGACACACACAACCTGATTTTAAAAAAAAACACACACCACCACTACAGTGATCATCGAAGATACTTTCATGTGGCACAAAATATGAATATTCTCTCAACCGAATCTCAATCAAGCGTATTCTATTTCGGTGAGTCGAAATGCTGCTGCTACGACGAAATGATATCGTTTCGTGTGCCGGATATAGCTGGTTAGCGATAATGATCAACATCGATACAAAGCTTACATCGTTTTCATTTACTATCTAAAAATTGAATTTATGAAGATAAAATCATTAAAATTGTCTCATGGTAGCTGTAACGTTGTGTGTGTGCGTTGTCGTTTCTTTATTATTATTATCGTGTTTTTTTTTTTTGTTTGTGTCCATCTTTGACAAGGCATAGTGCTACTGGTTGCTTCTCGTTGTTGTTGTTGTGTTATATTCTTGCTTTTCTAATGATACCCTTTGTTCGTTCATTCGGTCGCTGGTTCATTCGTTTGGTCTTTGGCTCGTTTGCTGGCTACTCGTGACTTTTGCTATGACTTTGGTTAAATACAATCTCTCTTTTTTTTATTGTGAACTTCAATGCTTATTTGTTTTCATTCGCTTTAACATTCTAGAAATAGTGATATTTTGTTTTTGCAGTGCTGTTTGCCTGAAGAGTAATTAAGCTTTCAACAAAAGGTTTTATTTGCACGGGCTTGTCCTACCAACTTAGCCCCATGCACAACACACACACACACACACTGCTTACTCTTTGCTGCAACGGAGTATGCAGAGAAGTGTCAGTGCATTTGGTTGCAAATAGAATGACCTCCATAAATACGGTAAAACGCCGTCAATATGTCTAATCTAGCGCATGTGTTTCGTTTCTCTCTTCATCTTCTTTGCTCTTTCGTTGTGTTTTTTTTTTCTTCACA